TCCTATAAGCCTCCAAATTTATAAGTTCTCTGAAGGTCAAAACAACTTATATTAATATGCACTTACTTGTTTTCACCCCAAGAATGGAGCAAAGGAAGTTGCACCTGATTTCACAGCAGAAGTAGAAATAATTCTAAATTACACCCTTAGATTTGCCATAAGAATCCTGCCCTGCCAGGAGTGACAATGCACACCTTTAATCTCACCACTTCGGAGGCAGAAGCAGGTGGATCTCTGTGAGTTTGAGGCCAGCCTGGTCTGCATAGTAAGCAGGGCTATATAGTGAAATCCTATCTCAAAAAAGTAATAATAACAAAGAAAAAACAGGCCCTGCCACATAACACACATGGAAACAGTCTCAGCAAAAGCCTGTGGATTGGAAGACAATGACTAGTTTCGTCACTACAATTATGTGCCCCCTCCATCCATATTGAAGCTCTAATCCCCAATACCTCAGGCTGTGACTATATTGGAGCTAGGGCTTTTAAGGATGTGATTTGGTTAAAACAAGGCCATTGAATAGGCCCTAATACAATCTGACTATGATCATATGAAGAGAAAATCTGAACACACAAAGAAACACCAAGGACATACATACAGGTGGAAGACCGTGGAAAGAGAGGCTTCTGAAAAGTACACAAACATATCAACACTTTGATTGTGGACATGTGGCCTGCCTCCAAAACTATTTCTGTTGTTAAAACCATTCAGTCTGGTATTTTGTTACAACAGCACAAATACACTAATATACTGACTTGGAACCTGGACATAAATCCAGCTGAGCTGCGACGTCATCTTTCCCTAAGAACATCTGGCACATGGTTAAGAGCCAATTATTTGGGGGAAAGTATAATGGTATTTCAGTGACCTGTAGGTAAAACAACTTCTGCATGATACAGTGGAAGGTGAGTGTTGCTGGTGAAGTTCAAGTACATTAAACAGGTCACAGAATGCATGGATAATTATATGTATCGAACAATTTAAGTTTCTTTAAGACATGATATCAGTAGAAAATGACTGACATGAGGAGAAACTAGATATAGCTAACAAATGATAAGCAGTTTAATATAAGCTTATCATAAAGTTCAAATAAGACAAAGGGAAAATAATCATATTAATATAAAAATATGGAGGTGTATATAATGGCTTTATAGGATGGATTAACCGCTTCAAGTTTGTTTATATTTTACATGAAAACCTCCAAATGTTGGATATACTCATGTTATTATTTCTATAACTTATCTGCTATATAACTGCTATATTAAATGTAGATGCTCAGAAAAATACAGAACAGTCTCCCTTTATGGGAGACTGGGCTGCCAAGTGTGGTGGTACATGCCTTTAGTCCCAGCACTATAAGTTTGAGGACAGCCTGGTCTACACAGTAAATTTCAGAACAGCCAGAGCTACATAATAGAGAGACGATTCCTCAAAAAGAGGGGAAGGGACTGGGTCAATGTCCTGGAGGGTAGACTTAGTGGAAAGAGTTGACACAAATGTCATCAAGACATAAAGTAGAATCATGAATAATACTCAATCCAAAAGAAGGTGAAAATGAAGAAAAAGTAAATAAAGAACAAATAGAAGGCAAAGAGCAAGTTGGAGATCTAAAACCAATCAGGCCAATAATTACATGACATGAAAATTATCTAAACACTGCACCAAAAGGCAGACACTGTCAAACTGGATGTTTTAAAAAGCAAGACACAGCCCTAAAGCTGCCTATAAGAAATTCAGATGAAATACAACCATGTTAAAAGTAAAGCTAGTCCAAAGAAAAGTGGAATTGTTAGTACCATCAGCTAAAACAGATTTCAGCACAAAGAGGATTAACAAGTACAAAACAAAACATTTCTGAATGGCAAAGGGTCATATTATCAAGAGACTACTGCAATTCTAACAGTCTGTACCTAACAAGAGTACTCTAAATACACAAAGCAAAACCTTCACTGAACTGAAAGAAAAAAAAAACGAATACAACACTTCAATCTGAGCTTTCAATATCCTTCTAATAATCAATAGAACAAGTAGACAGAAAAAAAATCAGTCAAGGAGTAGAAAACTTGAACAGCTTTATCAATGAACATAACCTGACATTCATAGTAAACAATACAGGATATGCATGCATTCCAAGAAAGCATGGAAGACTTACCAAATAACAATAATTTATGGACAAGATCCTATCTCCAAAACCCTCATAAATTAAAAGGATTCAAACATAACAATTATATTCTCTCACCAAAATGGAATTAAATTAGGAAACAGTATCAAAGAAAAATATGGAGAAATTGCACAAATATTTGCAATTTGTTGATGATTTTAAATGACCCTGGGTTGGGGAAATAAAAAGAAAATGAGAAAATATTTTTACCTGAATGAAAATAAAAACATATTAAAAAAACAGCTAAATCTTTATAGGAAGTTTTATATCATTAAAATTAATGTTTATATTACAAAAAGGAAAAATGTTGGAAATCAAGACGTTGAATCAGAAACTGTAGGGATGGGGTCCAGCAATCTGTAGCCCTCTAAGCAATTTTGATGCATGTCATACCTTGAGAATTACTGCTATGTGTTATTTGCATGTTGGTTTTGCTCTAGCCTTTATTCTTCAATAAAGAACCTACACAATTTATACTGCTCTGAAGTTCATGTCACTAAGGTCAATCTTACTTTTAGTAGTCTGTTAATCTTATGTTGACTTTAGAAAATAGAGTACTGCAAGTGATTAACACTGCAAGTAAGAGTTTATTTGCTAAAACATTCCAAAATTCAGAGACCATTGTTATATCTGCAGGAGTGTAGAGTACAAGCATCAGTGGGAAATATGACCTTATTGAATAATTCCTACTGTTTATACTAGGCTTCCCACATGGGAATCAAATGTAGTTAACTTTTAGTCATGTTCATTGCTGAAAAGCAACAGACATTTGGATGTAAATGGTTAATGAGATAAAAAGAATTTGTTTAAGCTGGGCCTGCAGGTTGTAAGCCTTTCATCAATGAGGCAAGGGCAGAGTTGACTACACGGAAAGTTCAAAGTCAGCCTGGGCTACAGAAGATCATCTTTCAAAACAAAAAAAGAATTTGCTTGAAATATGGTTTCACGCCTAAAGTTGGACATGAAATTATCTCAAATTCTGGAAAGCACTTCAAACAAAATACTGCAGCCCAAAGAAGCACCAATTCAATTCAGTTGCAGCAATTCTCAGGTTTGGCAGGCAAAAAAAAAAATTGAGATAAAATCTGGCTCAGTTACTTAAGCTACCCTCAAACACAAAATCCTCCTCCCTCAACTTCCTCAATGCTGGGGTGACAGGAATGCTCTTCCACATCTGGCATCATCTTTGCAACTGATTCAATGCGAGAATGATGTCAACAGATCTGGCCCATCTGAATTTTCTACCCACATCATTCCTGGGCCACCTAACTAACAAATGCAAATAAAACTGGCAGCTGGGAAAGGTGGTGCACACCTTTAATCCCAGCACTCTGGAGCCTGAAGCAGGCCTCTGAGTTCAAGGCCAGCCTGGTCTGCAGAGCAAGTTCCAGGACAGCCAGGGCTACCAGAGAGAAACCCTGACTCAAACAAACAAACAACAACAACAACAACAAAAGTAAAAGTACAGTGAGCCCTAGTAGTCTAGAATCCCAAGGTAAAATCCAGTCAGTCTACTCAAGGGTGCTTTCCTTCCCTGACCCTCACTGATTTTTTTTTTTTTTGGTTTTTTCGAGACAAGGTTTCTCTGTGGTTTTGGAGCCTGTCCTGGAACTAGCTCTGTAGACCAGGCTGGTCTCGAACTCACAGAGATCCGCCTGCCTCTGCCTCCCGAGTGCTGGGATTACAGGCGTGCGCCATCACCGCCCGGCTGATTTGTTTTTTCAGTTTTAGCTCTCCCTTAAGAATCTACCTTCTGCTCAATTGTATGCTTTTGAACAGAACCCCACAGCAGCTGTCTGTGGGGCCATGAGCATGTAATTATGCAAGTAATCAAGTAGAAGCCACAGTCACAAGTTTTAACATCAACATAAAATGGGATGGGGTTTTACAAGCACATTTCAAAAGTGCAAAAATTGAGTCTCATATTGTTTCTCTCCCTTTCAGAAGCTTAGATATGAGCACATACAAACCTCATATATTTTTAAAGAACATTGTTTTTTTCCTCTACTTTAATATAGCTATAGCTGTAAAACATGCAAAATAACTAAGCTCCAAACCGAAAACAACTAGTAGAAGCAACTAAATAAAAAGAACCGTGCTGATTTACTTATTGGCCACAAAATGCAGCAAAGCCTCTACACTTTCCTGCACACCTCGGAAAGAATCCCCAATTCCCTGTGCAGGGCTGATGTAGCTCTCTCTTGTCAGCATCAGGCATCCATGGTTCGGTCCCTGCACATTCATCCATGTTACAGATCCAGAAACTGTCAAGGCCCTGCCAACGTTCTCACTGTATTACAGTTTGGCAAGCACCTTCCCTCAACCCCCAGTTTGGGAAATGATCTATATAAGGAACACAACAGTTTATCTGAAGAGTTAACCAGACATCCTAGATCTGAAAAGTAAGTGAGGACATTAACGGCAATATAAAATTCCAGGATATATTCTTGTTCTCTCTTTTCCAAGATGCCTGTGCATATAGTACAAGGAAGTCTAGAGTACAGAGGGCAACAACAGCCACATACAGAAAAACACCCTAGAGCTTTTTAAAAACACAGTAAAGCAAATGTAAACTGCAGTAGGCCAAAGAACTAACTCTAGTTTGGGTTTTTTTTGCAGCTGCAAGCAACCTCCAAACCAAGAGGGTCACAAGTTCGACAGTTTGCGTGCACTGAGTGAGGGTTCAGTGAGTTCCATGAGCAGATGATTACAATTTCCATCTTTCTAAGCACTGTGGGTGTGCTTCACTGTTGATTTTGGTACCACATGGGAAGAAATGATCAAATCAAACATAAACTTCCTATATTTCTTGTTACAACACCTACTTCCAATGTTAAAAGGCATTCCTAATGTATTTTCTCCATTATTTCTCAAATTAATAAAAAACAAGTATGAAATTCATTTACAACCATAATATTATGCAAAGCACTTCATCTTCCTTTAACAACTTAGTCTGTTCCAAAGTATTTCTGTCCAAAATGTGTAGGTGCAACAGGATGAACTTCAGTAGTTAAAATTGTGATCTCTGGAAATTCTTGAATGATTGATTTGGCACCTTCAAAATATAAAAATAATTATTACTGCAAGATTTTTGGTAACACTAGTTAGAATTCAGGAATTGTATAATCATTGTCTCCAGACTTAATACTGACAGAAAACAGGGAACAATCATCTTTGGATACTGAATTAGGCATGCTTAATCTCTTTATATAACATCCACTATGTGAAAAGTTTTGTTAATAGTTCAGACCATGCTCCGGCCCACTCAATAATATGGTCTGAAAATCAAATTATTCAGTCATACCAGCTTTGGCTAGAATCAAGTAATATGGCACTCCCTAAAAGGATAATCCCATGAAATGAGAGTTTTCCAATGAAAACCCCAGGAAATAAGTGTGAAGGCGTATTTGGTATGTCAGAGAATGCTAACTGTTTAGAAAGAAGGATTTGAGCTTTAGGTGAGGGGTTGGGTAGGGAATTTAGACTAGCTGGGACGCCAAACCAAAGCACCACAGTAAAAGCTGCTACACAATGTGGATTTTTCAGTTTTAATGCCAAACAATGATATACTGTTCCAATTAATACAACTACAACTAAAGAGATTATTTTTTTCTTTTGCTAGAGGTGGATAATTACTGGATTATCTTAATGTTTTGAATGTCACCAGTGCTACATACAATGGACAATCAAGCAAATCACCCTTTGTCACCGCTGGTATTTGAATTACAGGTACATTGAGGTTACAAAAGAACAAAGTAATCCAATAGACCACAATTAGTACACAATAGCCTATTTAGAATAGCCTTCTAACACACATGCTGTGGCTTCTTGAAGTTTGCCTAAAACTTAGGCTAGCTGGAAATGTGAGAACAGCCTAACTAGTGAGTAAAACACTGAGAAAATGCCCAAAACCCCAAAAGCTTAAAAGTGAAAGTCATTCAGAATTAAACCAGAAAATAAGCACTATTAGCACTGTGTGTGCAATTTGAAACCATTGAGTATCTTCCTAGCCACTCATGTTGAGGTCAAATTTATTTGGTTTTATGCTGAAGTCTACTTTTGGTAATTAGTGTTATAATTTGTATTGGTCATCTCTAAACTTCCTGGTAACATTTCACAGTATTTCTTTATATTTCTATTAATTCTTTGAGAATTCCATACAATATATTTTGATCTTATTCATACCTATCCACCCTATCCACCCTATCCACCCAACTTTGTGGATGTTTGCGTTCTCTCTTTTCCTCTTCTCACCTTCAACCATCAAGCCTAGGCTGTTTTGCCCAACTCTGGTGTGTTGATCTGGTAGGAGTCAAACCATTAAAAAAGCTGACTCTCCCTCTCCCAGCACCTATCAAAGGCCAGCAGCGCCTCAGCTAATAGTAGGACTCCGTGTCCACCTTCCCTACCTCCATGTTAGGATTCTATCTGGCCTGAGCCTGCATGGGTCTTATGCACTCTGTCATACATCCTCTGTGAGTTCATATGTGTAACTGTTCTGCCTGTAAAACATTGTTTCCCTAAAGTCATCCACGACTTCTGGCTCTTAAGATCTTCCCACCCCTCCTAAAAGGTCCTTGAGACTTTGAAGGAGGGATGCATTTCACAGTACGCAATTCTCTTGTTTGTGCTGCTTTTCACACTTGCTATCTATATTTTTATATCACTAAATGTTTTTTCTAAAGCAACTTTGGATGTGGAATATTATTTTAAGATATATTAATTTATTCATGCCATGGAACATTTATTTAATGATGCAAAGATGTGTTTCATTCTTTTATGTTGCATTTGTTTAACTTTGTAAAGCTGTGATATGGATCTCCCTGGGAATGGGAGATATCTTGACTGAGGGAGCCATTATGGAGCTACCATGATACCTGGCACCAGTGAAATTCCCAGGAATCCACAGGGATGACTCCAGATTAAGACCCTAAGGAATAGTGGAGACAGTGCCTGAACTGGCCTTGCCCTGTAGTCAGATTGATGACTACCTTAATTGTCATCATAGAAACTTCATCCAGTAACTGATGGAAGCAGATGCAGAGATCCACAAAGCTGTGGGCCAGGCCCCCAGAGTTCATTTGAAGATGGAGGAGCAACAATATGAGCAAAGGGGTCAAGACCATGATGGGTAAACCCACAGAAACAGCTGACCTGAGCTAGTGGGAGCTCACTGACTCTGGACTGATAGTGGGGGAACCTGCAGAGGACCAAACTAGGCCCTCTGAATGTGGGGACAGTTGTGTGGCTGGGGCAGTCTGTGAGCTCACTGGCTGTGAGACCAGGACTTATCTCTAGTGCTTGAAATGGCTTTTCAAAGTCAATTCTCTTTGGAGGGATACCTTGCTCAACCTAAATATGGAGCGGGGGACTTGGTTCTGCCTCAAAGTGATGTGTCAGACTTTGTTGACTTTCCATGGGAAGCCTTACCCTCTCTGAGGAGTGGATGGGCGGAAGGGAGTGAGAAATGGAATAGGCAAGTAAAATGAGAAAAGATCGTTTTGAAAAATTAATTAACATAAAAAAGTAATTAAGAAAATCTGGCTAGAAACAAGCCAAGCTAAGGTTGGGGATTTATAAGAAAGAATAAGACTCCATGTGTGATTAATTTAAAAGTTGAGTAGTGGACCCTCCAAAAAGCGAAAACGGTAAGAAGACTAAAACAACCAATAACAAACTTCTGCAAGGTATGTAATAAACCGCTAAATAGATATTACTTATATACCCATTTCCTTATCAGTCAAGTATATATAATTCCTTTTTTGTTGTTGTTTTTGAGACAGTCTTGCTATATAGTAAGGTTTTCTATGTAAGGTGGGCTGGCCTTGAACTTGCACTGATCCTCTTGTCTTTGCCTCCCAAGTGCTGGGATTCCCAGCCATCATTTACACACTTTCAAATTATTTCTTATACTAATCAACTCCATAATGAAGACCCTAGAAACTAAATTCTTAATGCCTGTATGATTATTTTCATACTATGTATTCCTAATTGCCCAAGATTGTTTGGTAAGAAAGGCAGAGTCTTAATTTAGCTATATCTCTTAAAGGAAATGGGAAATAGATGACTTCCTCACACCTACTTAAAACAGACATCTAATTCAAAAAACAGCTGATATTCACATCACATTGCAAAGATTACTTCAATAACACCATAAGTTCCTTGTTATTCGAGAGCTGTTCTCAAGCTCAGGGGGAAAACCATTGAAACTTGGGACCTTTCAGCCATTTGTAGGCCCTAGTCAAATAGGACTTGGGAAAATAACTGCAGTTATTTTCAATGAAGTAATTAATATGTTCCCATTTGAATTTAAACATCAGAATGACTAGATAGATCAGTGGTTAAGAGCACCAGCTGCTCTACCAGGGAACCTAGGTTTGAGTCCCATCACCCACATGGCAAGTCACAACCATCTGTAATTCCAGTTCCAGGGGATGCAACACCCTTTTCTGGCTTCTGAGGTACACAAACATATACATGTATAAAATAATGGAATAAGATATTAAACATCAGGATAGTGTAAAACAAGCCAGGCATGCTTATCTATATCCGTGGTCTTGGTTGCTTAGGAAGATGAGACAAAAGGATCACCTGAGTCTAGGAGTTCAAGACCAGTGTGCAACACCTTGTCCAAAGAATTGTTTTATATTATCACTGAGATTAGAGATGACAAACACAAGTCATAACTAGCAAAACTAGATTTAAATTTAATATGGACTGACAACCATAATTTGCCTTGGGATGAGAGGCTAGAGAGATACACACTATCTCATGACTATCTGGAGCTGCAAGTTCAACTCACCATGGGGAGTGGAGAAGAGACTGAGTAGGATAATAACACTGGGTTGAACTCCATGTTCTATTAGAACCTTTACAGCTTCAATTACAGTATTGCCAGTGCCTAAAACAAAAAGGCAACGAAACCCATTAGCAACGTTAACACCTAAACTGACATGTTCTGAGAGTAAGGTCAAGGCAGGAATCTTAACATAAGACTTGACTCGTGAACACTTCATTTGAAAGTGACTGACTGTTCTTTGTCAATGTTATTTTTTTTTAATAATTTTTTTTATTAAGAAAAGAAGAAAAAAAACATAAACAAAAAACAAGTTTCCACCTCCTCCCAGCCTCCCATTTCCCTCCCCCTCCTCCCACCCTTCTCCCCCTCCTCCCACCCTTCTATCCCTCCCCCCACTCCTCTCCCCCTCCCTCTCCAGTCCACAGAGCAGTCCAGGTTCCCTGCCCTGTGGTAAGTCCTAGGTCCTCCCCCCTCCGTCCATATCTAGGAAGGTAAACATCCAAACTGGCTAGGCTTCCACAAAGCCAGCACATTAAGTAGGATCAAAACCCCATTATTTTTAATGATAGGTACAACAGAAACAGGAATTAAATGTACAACAAGCCCTAAACTCACTTACTTCTTGAGATACAAAATTTAACACCCCTGCTCACCTCCCTGGGAGACCATGGTATGAGCAAGTAGAGAGGTGAGAACAGAATACCAGAAAAATTACCTGTAGAGAGGATAAAACCTTGAGAAAATCAGTACCATGATCATTAGGGTAGAGCCAGGACATGTTTCGATATATTTTCTGGGTTCTATATATTTTACTTCATTAGGTCCTTTGCTTCAATGTGTTCATTTCAAAACAGATGTTCTTTGGAGCTAACAAAGTTTGACTAATGTATATTCCCTTATTACACAATAAAAAATTCCCAGTGAACTGCCCAGGGCAACTCCAAATCCAACAGAGAAAAACACATTTAGAAACTGTTTTTGCCTTTTATATAAGTGTGCGTAGGAGGTAGACACTAACTTGAATTTAAAACTCTAACAAAAAATTACAAATGCAACTCAAGCCACTCACTGAGAATTGGATACATCAGAAGGACTTTTCTGCGATGTATGTCTGGGGGGAACTTGGCATAGTACACTTTGGCCCTTTGTGTCTCCTCATCGCTCTGAATCAGGATCTTCCCAATTCGTATGGATCGACAGCAGTCACGTAAACCTTGTTCCATTGCCTCACCTTGAAGAAGGAAATGAAAAGGAATCAGGGACAAAAGAGATGCAGCAGATAGCGTGCAAATCCAAGAACAGGCCAAAGTCGAGTTTCTCACTGCTATTAATACAAAAAGAGCACTATTAAGGCAGAAGCATTCTTCTTTCTCTTCTACTGAGCTCATATTTTATTCTTAGTGGGAACTCAATGAAAGCAGATGAAAGGCTTGTCAAAGAAACCACAGTGAGCTAGACTTATTGCTTGCTTACAAGGTATGGAGCTGTTCTGCTTCCATGATGATGGAAATGAAAGGTTGACTGGGTTGTTCCTTGAGCTTCTTCTATACCAGAGATACTTTTACTCATTATTTTTAAAGATGATTTTAAGCCAATTAAATTTGTTACTTTCCTCTGAGAAAAATATAAAAGATTCATGAAAAAATGGGGGCTATAGGCCATAGGCTTTCCTTTTAGATATAAGTGGCCAGGATCCATTACTTAGTTCAGCAAGGCTGTGGGACCAGAAGCCCCATCAGGCGAAGTCTTGAGTACCTGGTGGAGAACTGACTGAGGGCCCATGGGGCAGCGTCTCAGTAGATTCATGGGCAACCGCTAAGCCAACAGAAAAACATCAGAGGTGCAAGGACCAAGGTGGTATTCTCAGAGAAGTTGGTACTTTCAGAGCTGAGAAGAAACCATATCCAGGTGTTCAACAACTTCAGATGCTGAACAACACTATTCTGAGAATGTTTTCACTGCTTAAGAGCTGTCTTCCTGTAGGAACAGAGCCTTAAGCGCCTTTTGTAATTGAGGTGTTCAAGTGTTCACAAACACAACAAGAGCAAGAGAAAAATGAAGGTTTATATGTTTTTAAAGTCCGTCTGTTTCCAGTGCAAACAAGTGAGGCTTCCAGCTCTTGGAAAAAAAAAGTTGTTTGCTGAGGAGCAATCATTCCTGTATAGCAGGCACACATTCTCATCACAGGCATGCCATTTTGCTGCACAAAAGTTGCTAGTTAAGATGATCAGTTGGACTCAAAGCACCAATACAGACTGTATAAGATCAGCAAGTGGAAATAGCTAGAGCTAATGACAGCTACGTGCTTTTTGCCTATGCAGTCACATATACAAAGAATATAAAATTTACAATATGAAATCAGTCCAGCTTTTGGCAGAGTTCCCTGCAACACAGATAAAAGCAGAGGCAGCATCTTCTCCAGCCAGCTCTCCAAATGTTCTTCTTCAGAAAGAATTTAATTTATGCCACATTCCTTCAGTCTGCAAACCATTCTCCTATCCTGCTATCCTCCCACCCTCCTTTGAGGCATTTTAAAAGCTGCCTTGCTCGTGGGAGCAGGCCACTAGGGATGAGGCCTGCAATTACAATTAACCAAACTTAGCAGCACATAGGCCATGACTCCAAGGCACCATGAGGCTAGGCAACACAGGTGGTGAGATTTAAGCAAAGGCAGCATGCAATTATGACAAGCCAGCCCGCCTCTCCTGGAAAACAGCAACCGTTTCCATGCATGCAAAGAAACAAAATCGTACACACGCAAACCTACCGCTCCTCATGATGCTGACCCCACAATTTCCTTTCTCAAATTTCACTCCTTCATACTTGTGCCCTGTTGGGAAATAAAAATTAAAAAAAGAGATGCTTTATCATTAGAGACATGTACATATTCTATAAGGTACTCGTGGCTCAAAGCAGATGAGTACAAAGCAACCCAGACACAACGTATAGCACCTTCGATTTCCTGTGAAAGTAGTGAGTCATGATCTTTCAGTTATTTCTTAATTCCTCAGAAGAAACCTGTGAGAATAATTGGGAGAGGAGGTTTTCCTCAAGTTGGAATTGGACTTATTATAGCACAATATTCCCATACACATCCTCCAAATTGAATTCAAAGGAGACTCACTGCAGTCCATGAATACTAGATACCCCATCAATTCACACCGGAGCCCCACTGTGAGTCACAGCAGAAAGCCGCCTCATTCCATCCCTTCTTATGATCCTTCATTCTGCCTTAAAAAAAAGAAGAAAGAGGCTGAAATAGTTATTAAGCTACTCAAAACTTGGTCTCATTCTGAACTGTGTCAATTATGATGCAACAAACTCAGCCCTCAATTGTTCATAGCCAACCCTTTGAATAGTAGAGTTTTCCATCAGTTATGAAAAAAAAACAAATCAGAATTTCCAATCTCTGAAAGGGGGATTGTAGGCTATTCTTATTAGAGCAAAGCACCTACTCCAAATCTTATCATTTTGACTTTTCTTTCCCTTTTCCACATCTCATCTTCTTTTTAAACCTGTAGTTTCTATGCCAAACCAGTCTCTTGCATTTGTTAGCGCCAGTGGCTTCCCCACAGAGGTGAAGATAAGCTGCCAGCAATTCTCAACTTTGGTCCCTGTGGGCTGCCATCAGAAGCAACACCTGAATGCTACATGACTATGTAATAACCTTTAACTTGAATTGACAAGCAAGGCATTAACAAAAAGTCACGTACATATATTTCTTTACAAAAGTCTCTTAGTTTTTAAAGATGTTTAAAAAAAACAGCTCTACCTAAACTCATTTTTCACACTGATTTTACACAGAATGCCTTCTTTCCATTTTCCTTCCCCAACTCTAGTTCAGGATTTTTATGAGGAAAAGTTGAGAGCACAAGTCTTTGTTACCTGTTGGCGTGGTCACCATGCATTCTTTATATGGCAGCTGATTCAGTCCCTCTTCTACAACAAGTCTGATCTAGAAAGTCAAAGAAAAAATAAATTGAGGGCCTCAGAGTCTCCTGCTAGCTGCTAGCCTTGGGAGCTGAGGGCTTAGGTCATAGAGGAAGGAAGGAGGCCCCTACCGTGGCTTAACTACAGGGACACATTTAAATGTCAGGCTGCTTTTTGGTAAGTACCCAACCTCTATTGTAGCACATTGACTATCACCAAAGGGCTTCTATGTGCCTTCTGAGTAGACAAGAATATGAGAGGCACGAAACTTCAATAAGAGTTGTGGCAAAAACACCATTGGTAGTAATAAAATTATGGGGTCCTGTGAAAAGTGTCCACCTAGGATTCTCTACCTTGCTTAGTACCTTTGAAATCTTTGCAATTTAAAAATGAACCTAGATTCATTTCTAACAAAGGTACACCATAATGTAAACTATATCGAAAAGTCCTTGTGAAAAAATGAATGAATAGATAGACTGAAGCAATTTACTGGATCTGAAGGAGGACCCAGTAGACTATCCCGGGACTTCTCAGTTAAAGAAAAGTACTATGAAGGCTAATTAGATGGCAGATAAACAGGCAGAAGGATAGAACTGACTCCCAGAAGTTGTACTACGACTTCCACATGCATCCACAATGGCATGAGCAGGTGTGTGCACACACACACAGACATGCACACACAAGTAAATAAATACTTAAAAAAATTTTTAAACAAAGTTTTATGAGTTGCATAGCAACTATGAAGTAGAAAGGAAGAATCCCTCAAAATTACTAGAAACAGTTGCTCACAGCGAGACATGAGCAACCAGAGCCCACTATAACAAAGCCAGTGCCGAGCCGTAGTGCACATTTTCTCCAATCAATAGTACATTAATGATTGAGAATCAGGAACAGCAGGGAGAAGTACGATGCTTCATTCTCTGTTATCACAACACATCACCCTGCTGTCATTAAAGGGATCAATTGGAAATGGCCCATCACTTTGTCCCCCTGCAGAATCAGAGAATGGCCCAGAAAGCTTTTGAATAGTGTATGCAAGAGCACACTCGCTGCTAGCTACCACCTTCCTTGGCTACTTAGGTTTATTTAGGAGAAAATTGCAGAGAAGGGTTTTTTTTCTCTTTCCTCTGGTGACATGCCTCAAATGAGCCTTGTTCCTGAAACTCTGGGACAGAAGTGATCGTGTCTGCACGGGCCAGAGTTTGGAGAGGACTGCTGTGAAATGTTTTCTGGACATGGCAGGGCTGTTGCACACTCACCGCAGTTGTGTTTACTTACACACAACAGGCACAAGATCAAGCCAAACAACATTGCACATACACAGGGGAGGAGCTCACAAGGCCCCACCTCTAACTGAGGAGCTATTGACAGTTGATGGCTTCTGAAGGAGGGAGAGTCAGTTTTCTTTAGAAGTGTGGCCCCCCTGAAAAATTGATCATACTCCAGAGGGTGGCCTCACACCCAGGGGCATGTGGGCAGCATAAACTAAACTCAGCGGGCTATGAAAAGAAAGAGAGCAAGAAGTTGGCTGGGAGAGTCTGAGAGGAGTTGAAGGCAGAATGAGGGGTGGAATATGATCAAAGTTCATTGTATACATATATGAAATTTTCAAAGAAGAAATAAAAATGCATAAACAAAAGTATGGAGATAGGTGTGTCTAAGTAAGAGGAGAGCATAAAACTACAAGAAGAATGACTCAAATCCTTTTAAAGGCTGGGGTGTACAGCATGTGTTTAATACACTCAAGGCCCCCAGTTAAATCTTCACCGTTCTCTCCCCAAAATAATTAAAATGTAAAGAACTACAGGAAACAACTCAGGATAAGATCACTTGTCCACTATCAGGGATATCACCCTTGTGTTGAGGAGATAGTGTATTAGAAATCCTCAACAATAAAAAGATAAACAGCTATAGTTGCTACCATAACCATAACAGATTCTTCTCAACCTCACCCCATCACTGGTCCTTCAAAGCCAACTACAAAGAATGGAGAAATCCAAGTTACCATGTCCTAGGTGAAGTATGCCACCTCTCTTGCTTGGCTAGAATATAATGCCTGCTATTTCAGAGAAGCATTTTAGAACAGCCATGAATTTGACCCCTACTTTCTATAACAAAAAGGAACATATGCACCTGTCATTAGGTTTGTAGTCCCAGCTACTTGGGAAGCTGAGGCAGAAGGAATGCTTGAGCCCAGGATTTTGAGATAATTATGGAAAAAAAAGAGATTGTCTCAAAAAGAAAAAAGAGAGAGGGCACAAGAGAAACAAAAGAAAGATGAATAATTTTATCCCAGAGAACAGAGACTCCTATTCTTTGCTCAGCAGTCATTAAGTTGGAAGTTCCTAAAACCTCAAAAATGGCTTTTTTTTGTTCACTTGGTTGGGTTTTGCTGAAAACATAAAAAAAGGCTGAAGAGATGGCTCAATTGGTCCTTGTAAACAAAGACCAAGGTTCAATCTCTAGAAGGCATATAAAAAAGCGAAGTGGTAACATATGCTTTATAACCTAGTGACATGAGGATCTCTGGAGGGCTTATGGCCAGTCAGCCTAGCCTAACTGGCAAGCCCCAAATCCCAGTACAAAACCTTATTTGGAAAAAAAAAGATGAGGAAGATGGTTCCTGAGAAGCAACCAAGACTGATCTCTGGCCTCCACACATGCACACATTTGCACCTCCACAAACAACACATGCACACACAGAAGAAAACATTAAAGACAATGGTTTCTGTCCCAGGAATGTCAACCATATTTCCCTTGTTGCTAACATCAGTTATTTCTATCCATGGAAACCAAAGTAAGTTTAAATAGAATTGGGTCTCTCAATCAAGAATATTTAAAGCCAAAAGCAGAAGAGGAAAAGCCTACACTCTTTTAGCATATATGTGCTCTAGAAAAAAATCAAAATTAAAAGTTGTATGCCTTTTTTCACACTTCCTTTTCTATTTTCTATGATTTGATTATACCTACAAGGTTCATAAGCCACATTTCTTTGTTAAGCTAAGTACTGACAAGAGCAGAGACTATATCTATATATCCTTAACTGTCTTATCTCCTCTCTCCCAAAATAGTCTAGTGCAAAGCCTAATATGTACTCAATGTTTATTTTCATTAATGTAGAGTATTAGTCTTAGCAACTACTTAGCAATTTCACTCCAAGAATGGAGCACACTTAGGTATCAACATAAGAACAGAAAGCTGTGGCAAAGAGATCATCTGAGATGACACTGACTATGTGGGGACTGGGTTTGCTCAGGACTTAACAGGATGCCCTTGAAGAAGGGGTATGCACTGGGTTTGCTCAGGACTTAACAGGATGCCCTTGAAGAAGGGGTATGCACATATATGTTCAATATATCACATGGCAGAAGCAAAACAAATACAATTAACATTGTAAACTACAAAAGAAAATAAACTAGTTTCTGCACATTAGCTCATACACAGGGTGAATGCTAGGTCTCAGAACACAGTTTTTTTCTAATGTGCTACAGTTCATGGCCCTAAGATAAGGCATTTTATGAGTTGCTGAGAACCAGGCTGACAAGATCCATCTAAGAATGACAAGGAATGGGTACATAGGCAATGTTTTGGAGTAAAAGGGAGTGAGGCAGCACTTTAATGCTATAATGGAAAGGATACTTCAGAAGCCTCACAAGACGATGGTTGTTCAGGGCAATCTCTCTCAACCCCAGAAAAAATGGTCTACAACGAAAAGCCCCCTGGCCTGCCAGAATTATATCACTGCATATAACAATGAAATGAAATGGAAAGTCTCCACCTACCAAACGATCCGCAGAAAACATGAAGTCCCCTCTACTGGCTGTCCTAAAAAAAAAAAGTACAAGTTTTAGTCTAAATTAGAGCTTCAAAGTAAAATATAACTAATACACATAGTAACACTGATATTAAGACCTATTACATAGTAAAGGCTGAAATGCTTATGTGTACAATATATTTTTACTAGGATACGGGCATAAAAAAGAAAAGACTTCATAAGTATTATTGGGAAAAGTTATTTGATTACTTGACATCAATATTAGAGATAGGAATTGAAGATCATGCGATCTACACTAAGCTGTCAGGGAACACAGATCCCCTGGAAGATGACAGAAAAGCTCAAATTGAGAAGAAACTTTACAGTAAGAACACTACCCTGCCCTCAGTTCACCTAGTTTTATTGGCACACAATAGAGCTAAGTAACCCATCTACTTTGCTGCTTGTCCTTTTGGGGATTATAAGAGTTAATAGTCTTCTGTTGTGGTCACTGCTTTCAAAAAATGTGCCCCTTCATTGCTAAGCCCTCTTTCTCAAATCATTTATAACTTGTTCCTTTTCTCTGGTTTCCAATGAAGCCTTTCTCTCCTTTGATTTTTCTGTCATTTTCTTATACATTTCCTCTGGGTTGATACCATCCTATCCTGAGGTGTTCAAGCAATAGTAATTCAGTCTTGCACATTTCCACCAGCTGCTATAACCAGGCAAAAGAATGAATGTTAGGAGACTTGTGTCTTTTCTGTATATAAAATCTTTTCCCCTCTTTCATGGAAGTTAAACATTTTGATAGAATGGATGCATTATCAGCTTATATACTTAAAATTTTCTACTTTCCTATCTAAAATATAAAACTAAAATATTCCCCATCACAGCATCAATAGGACAACTGCAAGTGCCAATTATCTCAGCAAATCATTAATCTTTTTTTTGCATGTGCACTCCCTTTTTCTAACAGAGGAAAACAATAAAATATACCAGATACAAATATCATTGTGTTTCTCACAGTAACCACAGCTCTATCATAGTGTAGCTATTAACTCCCTAAACTAAGAACATAATTAAGCAATAGCAAGAATATGGGTTTGTAGTCTTTATACAGTCTATGCTCTAGACTCAAAAATTCTATATACACATAACACACCCCTACCTATATACATAGAGATAACATTTAAAACAGGTTCTGTTACATGTACTGCTGTTTTAGAATGAGACCAGTGTCTTTCATTTCTATAACTCATTTTCAAAACACCTATCAATGAAATGAAAAGCAGAGAAATTTAAAAAAAAATAATGCTTTCAATGGTAGACCTATGCAAATTTGCCTAAGCAGCCAAAACACACCTCTTTTCTTTTTTCCCAATTAATTATGCATGCATGTCTACATTCACACACAGACACACACAGGGATGGGAATCGAACTCGGGACCTCGGGCACTGCTGGCGGCACTCTTAACCTCTGAGCCAGCTCTCCTGCTGTTAACACAGCTCTTTTCAAGGGGGAATAAAACCCTGACCTTTTCAGGTTATTTTAGAAACTATGCATTTCTTTACATTTTTATATTGATTTTGTTTCATACAGGTGTTTTGCTTGAATGTATATCTGTGTACCATGTACATGCCTGATGCCCATGGAGGTCAGAAAGGGCATTCAATTCCCCGGAACTAGAATGAAAGGTGATTCTGAACTGCCATGTGGATGCCCAGATGAGAACCAGGTTCTCTGCAACAGCAGCAAGTACTCTTAACTGCTGAGGCATCTCCCAAGACATTAAGTCTGAAGTTTCCTTTTTTCTTCTTGGTTTTTCAAGATAGGTTTTTCTCAATGTATCTTTATCTGTCCTGGAACTCACTTTATAGACCAGGCTGGTCTCAAGCTCACAGCCACTGACCTGCTTCTGCCTCCCAACTGTTGGGATTAAAGGTCTGTGCCACAACCACTCAGCCAGCCTGAAGTTTCTTAAAGAAATAACCTATGATATGTTTTGACAATGTCTTTCACTCATCAATTTACTACACAAAGGAGTTATATCAGGGAAAGTGATGAGAGATATCACCATCTGTTATTTTACTCTGGAATCAGACATTTTAACACCATTTATACCCTCTCTCCCCCCAGAAATCAGCTTTATCTGATAACCTTTGCAAAATAAGCACATTATCTACATACTACAAAAGGTATACACTGAAAATCTAATAGGAATCGCCTTCTCTTGACAATTATTTGACCTACAAAAGAAATCATTCATTGTTCTACTATAAACAGCAATTACTAGTTTGCCTTCTGTTATTTTAGACAGACTTCAACTCGTACTACTTATTTTAAATCAATTTAGAAATTAAAGTAAATCTAGAATACAATAAATTGATTACATTTTTTAAAAAAAAATACATAGTGGCCTTCAACATCATGTTGAAATTCTTAACACTGTTGAGAGACAGCTTCATAAAATCAGAATTTCCTTATCAGATAGATCAAAGTACCTGTATTCTCTGAGCTCTTCCTTTGGGCCCAATGCTGGTCTGAATCATTTGTTTAAATACACATTTTAATGGAAACTAGACTCCGGGTATGATTCTCCCCATATACTTTGTTTCAAAATTATATTATTTCAAAACCATTCAAAAAAATCTTGTCCCACAGGAAAAAAAAAAGCTTGGTAAAATACCAAACATCTTCTAAGAATAAGTTAAAATAATATAATGTAAAACTGCCATAAAGCAAAATCACACAGACACATATCCCTAAAATATTTTTTAATTCAGGATCTGTATTGCCCTGGCTGGCCTGGAACTAGCTCTTGTAGACCAGGCTGGCATCAAACTCATAGAGATCCCCCTGTCTCTGCCTTCAAGTACTGAGAGTAAAGGGGTGCACAACCATACCCAGATCCTAGAATATTCAAAAATACATTTAGGTAACCAAATATCTCATAGTTAAATAAATAGGACAATTAAACAATCAAAACCCAAAGCATGGAACTGTAATTAATATTAAACTGAGATCTTTTTTGTTTGTTTTTGTGAGTCAGGATTTCTGTGTTGCTTTGAAGCCTGTCCTAGAACTAGGTCTTGTAGACCAGGCTGGCCTCGAACTTGCAGAAATCCGCCTGCCTCTGCCTCCGAGTGCTGGGATTAAAGGCATGCACCACCACCACCCAGCTAAACTGAGATCTTTTAAATTATACAAGCTCCCTGGATTGTGGCAGTACATGCCTTTAATCCCAGTACTCAGAGGCAGAGGCAGGCAGATCTCAGTGACTTTGAGGCCAGCCTGATCTACAAAGAGAGTTCCAAGACAGACAGGATTGTTACACAGAGAAACCCTGTCTCAAAAAAAAAATGATACAAGCTTCAAGCATGTCCAACAACGAAGACATAACTGTAACTAAGATTTTTTTTCTTTGAGACAGGGTTTCTCTGTAGCTTTGGAGCCTGTCCTGGAACTAGCTCTTGTAGACCAGGCTGGACTCGAACTCACAGCGATTTGCCTACCTCTGCCTCCCGACCACCTGGCAAAGAATATTTGTCTAAACAGTCTCCCCTCAAATACACGTGTCACATACTGTAGTAACATGATGAAAACCAAAGGCAGTCATTTCAAAATGCAATTATCACATGGAAACGAGACTCATACAGTAGGAGCCAACCATGATAAGCAAAATAGGAACAGATCACCCAAAGGAAGTTCTTTATTTCCAACCATTATCATCTGCCAGAGTAGAACTCAGCCATTGATAAGTTTAATGGAGGCCTGAGTCTCAGTAGTTTACCCTGAAGCAATACCTGGTTGCAGGAAGGACCATAAACTAAGATTACCCAAGCACCACCCAAGAACAGACCATCCAAAGAAAATGCCTACTGTTCCAACCTTGAAGATAGGATCACCTGTCAGCACACACTCATCAGGACACCCCTAGACAAATGTCAGCCAAACAGGGGTCCTGAACCTCAGAAACCCTTCACCCCTACCTTTACTACTATAAAAACCAACTCTAACCAAGCTCAGAGTTCTCTGCTTATTCCAATACTCTGGACATGCAGAGAGACTGAGTTTGCAAACTTGCATAAAATAAAGGCTCTTTGCTTTTACATATGGGACTCAGTCTTCTTGTTGGCTTTTGGGGGATTTCGCGGATTTGGGCATAACATTTGGGGGCTCGTCTGGGATCCCCAAGCCCACTGGGACTACTACCTGTAGAGCCTTCAACTGGCCAGTAAATTTTCTGTGTTTTGTTTCGTGTCCCATGTCTGTGTCTCATGTCTCATATCTTTCTGTAAGCAGGCCCAGGAACCATAAGAGCCTGTAGACTATGTAGGCAGACACCCAAAAAGATCACAGGTGGGGTGCCTTGAGGAGATGCCCCCAGGGTCCTTCTGCAGAGGTGAAACATGCAGGTAGCGGTCTCAGTTCAACAGACAGGTGGATTGCACCCACAGAACAGCTTGAGGCTCTCATTTTTGGTTTGGTTTAGCACCATTGTCCTGTTCATTGTCCTGTGTGTCTATGTGTTTTTGTCCTGACTTAGACTGACACTGACGATAAGGGACAGACTCAAATCATGAGTACTTTGACTTTGATACCGAGATCACTTACAGGACTTTAGAGATAGCTCCATAAGCATAGGGGTATATTTTCCTAAAAGGAATAAGACAAATAACCTCTACTCGCTGCCTTAAACATTTCATGAAAAGGAGTCAGCCTTGGCCCCAAGCATGACGATGCTGGGTAGAGTGTTTGTGTGGCTGGGTGGCTGGGCTGTACAGCCTTGTTGTTATAATGTAGCAAGGCTGTCAGCCACAGTTGTAGGGGGCAGATGTACCCCAATAAGATTTCAAACACTGGACAAAGAATCTGGGGTTAATTGCTATGGTTTGGAGAGGTTAACAATCCCCCCCCCCCATGCTGCATGCCTCCCTGCCCCCTCCCATGCAGGTGAATGAGTTCCCTCCACCTGCCCTGGGGGCTGCCTGCCTCAACTTCTTGTCAAACATGACCAACGTTTGGTTCCATGGGTCAAGGACTCTGGCTATAGGTGTTGCTGTGACGGCC